TATACAAATATAATACTACGTTCTAAGTCATGCATGAAACTAATGATCTGTAAATGATCTACATTACAAAAATGTAATCATACCTTTGTTATAAGTATTAAGTTATTATTCAATTCAAACTTCAAAGTATAAAATTATGCAATTAGCATTCCTAAAAGTTTTTCATTGTTACAATTATCTATAAAAATATTGTTAAATATTTCAATCTCATTACTATAATAGGGATTTCCTTTACTTAAACATTTTTTACTATTATTTAAAGTGATAATTTTTTTAAGTTTCATCTTATTATAACAAATCAATATAACAATATAAAGTTTCAAGTCCTACACAGAAAGTATTAAATGGTTATAGGAGGACTATTTAAAGTGCATAAAAATACACGAAGCAATACATAAGATCTATTTATTCACTTAATATATATCTTCAAACGGAAACTTTATTCAACTGATATGAAAATAATAAATATAAAATGATATTATAATTTCTCCATCAGAATAATCATTATTCTACCTTCGGAAGCACGAGAATTTAATGGGATAGGTGTTGAATGCATTTCGTACATTTATTTTTAGAATAATTTGTCATACGAATAAAAATATTTAAATAATAATATAATTAAATAACTATTTTAATCTATGTATTATTTTATTTTAGTGTTGAACTAAAACATGATAAATTTACTTTTTTTTTGGAGAGCTTAAATGAAAAAGTTTGAGAACTGCTAGGATAAAGAATATTTAAATATCCACAGTACACGTAGGGTAGGGATGTGCTCGAGGGGGGCTATGAGGATCTCAAACCCCTCTCCCCGAAATTTCAGAAAAAAGTTGTAAGTTTGCTATTTAGTGTATGGATTATAATTATTACATAAATATTTTCGTTTTTTATAGGTAATAAGATTTAAAATAAATAATTAATTTTTCTATTAAACAATAATAAAAAAATTAAAGAAATTTATCCTTATTTACTGTGTAACAATTTCCTTCAAGTTGGTGAAGTCAAGAATTTTGTCCATCCACACTTATATTATTTTTGTATTCGTCAACCTTCGATCAAAACGACTATCATCACACCGTTTCTACTGCATGATACAAGGAGCCAAAATGTAATGCAGAAAATAACTTTATTTTAAATGCTTTTATAGATTTATAATTTTTAAATTTTTTTGCTCGTCACGTGTTTTGTACTTTTACCTACACTTTTAGAATATATTTTTATTAATTTTTTGTATAAAAAAAACATATATATTTGAAGGTTTTGTCAGACACAAATTGACTAAGTGCGTTTTTAAGTTATTGTTAAACTTGTAAATTTATTAAAACTGATCCTACTACGTTTTCGTAAAGAGTTAATCTTGAATATTAACAAAATTATGCAATAAGTGCAAATGTGTTGTCTAGACGCAACGTTTCGTTTTTTTATTTTAACATTATGATATTATTTGCAAATTTTATTATATCGACGAATGGTTTGTACCTTTTAATTTTGATAAAAAGAAAGATAATGTTGAGTTTAATATAAAAAAATAAATAAATATAATCTAAAGACGCCCAATTTATAAGTAATGAGCTAGGTCAACGTATTCCATAAATATTTGGCAGAGATAAATAGTCGGTTTATTTATATTTTTATAATTTTATTTTTGTACGGTACTATTAAATCTGGATATGTTTTCATACACACACTTTCGTTCCATTAATAATATCATAAAACCATTCGTGGTACACACTTTTTTTCATGATTTTCCAATAGCTTTATTTATCATCAATATATCATAATATCAGTTGTATATTTGTCCTTTATGCATCAAAACCTGTTCACAAATAAAACTACGGATAAAGGTTATTTAATTATTTTGTTGCTGTAATGTGCGAACAAAGGCAAATTAAAAAAAAAAAAAAAACTATTTTAACGGTGCCTAACTACCTATATAATAATAGTGTCCATTTATTTATGCGTTTTATTCTTGTATTATAATATTTCCATCTGATAAAGTTTTAATGAACATGGTTTAATCTTTGATGTACCAATTATGTATTTATAATTATTTGGACTTAAGTTTAGTATAGCTCTATAGCTCTATCCGTGGTGGTAATTGACGGAATCTCGATAGAATGTATGCATTATTGTATTATTATCTTCTATTTACAGAAATATTGTCCCATATGGACACATTTAATGTATTTAAATACGATTAGAAAATCGCACATGGAATTATTTGGTTCGAACTGTATACGTATAAAATCCACCTACGTATACAGTGTAATACATTATCAATTTTTCATTATACATCGAAATACTAACTATTATGTACCTACTATTCCCACCACTCACTAGATGCATATAATCGTAGTACGAGATGCGTTACAGGATTATTTCATATACGCAGTTTGTACACAATTTGCATGTCTACATTTTAACTATTAAGCTTTCACGCTTAAAACGTGGACTTGTAACATCTTGTACGAATTTGATTCTTATTGTATTTTCTCAAAAAACTAATTATTATGTTTTAACATCACTTTAATGTATCCGAACTTCTACTCCACTTTTTTTGTACCACAATTGTATCGAAATATGCGACAATACCTCCTTGAAATTGATTAAATTTTTAATAAAATACGCATAAAACTAAGCACCAAGACGCACGTATCATAAATTGAATAGGTTTTCAAAGAGTATTGTATTCCATAATATTACCATAGCGATACAAAACTCAAAACCATTGGCACAACTAGAGACCAAATATTGGAGGTGCTGAAATTACTGAAAATAAAATTCAACGGTACATCACTGTAATTACAATAGATTATATGGATTTGAAAAAAAAACAGGAGTGCTACGATTGAACTCAGGGGTGCTAAAAATCCGTATGCGCTCGCCTAATTGGGCCTATGCTTAAAACTGTCTTTGATAAAAACCAGATGACGAATAACGCTCAAAAAAATCATTTATTGCTTTTATTCGCAAGAAAGTATATTGCAATGTAAAATTTTAATTTTGTACTGTCCAATGCCGCGTGTTCTCCATTTCTTCCCCATCCAATCGTTTCTAGAATAGAAATGAATAGTTTTATCGGTTATCTTCGGCTCATATAACATTAATTAATAATTGTGTGATATTTATGTTGGTATCATAATAAGTTCAATTCGCCGTGATAATATCCACGAACATTTATGTAAAACATGTATAAAACAATTAAAACAATCGTTGTAATAATCATGTTAAATACAAGTGGCTATGCTAATAAATCAATTCTTACCGATTTCGATCTCACTTATTTTACAGACAGACACATATAGCGAAACTGATTTCCATGCGTTCGATGAACACAATCAAGTTGGCCGACGTCTTTGTACGATAACACTACTACTTTAATAATTGCAGGAATTAGCTGCATAATATTATGTTAAAAAGTGCAATAACAATTTCACATAAGACCGTCGCTAAACGCGTTCAATCGAAATCGGTCAATTTAGCTACATTACATCCGATTAGTTATATTGTTCAGTAATTTATTGTGGTTCGAGTGCATATAAATATATTATCATATTATCAGTAGAGGCCCACAAAGCATCAATACGCCCGATTATCATGCACAGTACACGTGTACAGGAATATGAGCTCTGTGATATTAACGCAAAAGACCAATTTATATACATATACACGGTTATTATGCATATATTATACATATAAATTATACGGTATTTTGCACGTGCGATAAGTGAACTCGCTAATATACATCAATTATAATCTAATAACGATTTAATGTATTGGGTAATAATAATTAGAAATATAGAGCTGTTTTATTATTCTATTTCACGTTGGCAATTATATTATTATTGTTACTTCTATTTCTGTATTATATTTGCATAGGAATGCAAACCATACGTCTACTCGTATATGCGCTGGCCAATGGAAATCTCAATAGATAATTGGACTCTTAAATTAATAATAAATGATGTACATGAGTTTTTTTCAAAGTATTTAATATTATCATTCGAGCAAATTAATGTTATCAATTTAATTTATCTCATATGTCTATGGATAGATCTAATGTATATAAACTGCTTATAATAATAGAATATTGTTTAAAATAAAAAAATTAAAAATTAAAAACTGGTTCGTTATTTGTATTTTTAAGATTGTTGTACAATATATTTTATTACATATAATAGATGCATATGCATGTGTATATACTGGTATATATATGTATACATTAACATATCGATTAATTAATCGACGAGATCAATGTATTTTTATATCTGTTACATCGCCCGGACGCGGTTTTAAATCGCCGTGATTAATCACTTAAAATTAAACAGTCTATTTGAGATCATTCACACTAGGTACGAAAATCAAGCTTATAAAATCCACCGTCGTCCACGGTTAATCGCGCGTGTTCAATTTCGATGAAGGCGGATAAAATTAAACCCGTTGTTTTGACTGGGTCTATTCGCGGCGCTTAACCATTAGGTTGGTGTTAACGCCATAAAGTTTTTAAACGTTTCACATCATAATGCTAACCTCGGTAGTGCTACACTAAGCAAACATATGTGTTGCAGACTTGGTGCCCGTTTTTATAACACGATAATTTCGGTTTCAGAATCGTACCGTCAAAGTTGAGCACAACGTGGAAGACGTGTGTAACACGTAGGTACCGTTACAAAGTTCGATGTATATCATTCTCGTGTGAAACCCGTATCACCAATATCCCGTTTCGGACACGATCGTCACTAAAACCTAAAAGATCTCAACGTTCTGCCGGCTTTCCCTAATCGATTTACTTCGATAAGAATACAGAGTTCAGAACATGTACATATACACGTATATCAACAATCGCGGCGCAATGCTTATCATATAATATATTAAGTTCTAATAATAGGTAATACTGGCTCGCGCACACTTGCTCGGTGCTTGCGCACGAATATACACGCATGCAACGAACGCGTACACTCGCAGCACACAATACGATAATAATAATGGGATAAATAGAGGGTGATACGGCGAGCAAACGGAAAGCCGACTAGGCCGGTCATGTGCGACCGTCAGTCAGTTTGTTAATGGCTCAGGACCGGTTAACATCTACAAACCGACAGTGTTGTCCGATACCTCGGCGATTCTAGATCTCAACTAGAATAATTATCCCACGGATTACAGGTAATAATATATTTTTAACAATTAATTAACAGGCCCTAAATTATAGGTTTATTTAATTTTTATTTTTATTTAAACTTTTCTCGTAACGTTTATACCGCTGCGCAAACATCGACCGCGATCTTAACCACTACGTAATTCATCTCGCACGAGGGTGCGTACACTTTAAATGGTTAATAATTTTTATTTGTATACGTCAAGTTGTTTATTAAAATAATATGTGTATAATAAGAGCCCAAAACTATAACATGCATCTGCGCGTTTATAAATAATATGTCGGAGTCGTTCGAAATATCTACGATTAATTATTGCTTATTATTTTGCATGTTTGTCGGGTAGAAGCGTATTTAAGTGTTCATAGAGTACCTGTTATCATTAAACACATTATTGGATAAAACTAAAATTTCTGTAAAGAAAATGTTTGAATTTCATTTTATTGTAAAGTATTTAAACGAAAAATATTTATGTTCTTATCAATGAAGTACATTGTACAAATACAATATCTGCAATGTTAATTTGAAAAGAATAAAAATGTCTTCTAAAACCGGTTGATAATGATTTTTTTTTTAAGTTCCAAAATTGATTTTTGGTCATAACGTGTTATTTTATGGATTAATCAACGTACAAATATAAATGGAGAGAGAAAGAGTAATAAAAGAGACGATACAATCTTGAAAATATTGAAGAAAAAACCACTTAAGTATACGCATAATATTAAGTCTGTAATGCATTTTACATATTAAGTAATTTTTAGTGTGCATTTTGTATCGCAAATTTACATTTGATACAGGTCTAATGCTTAAGTAATTTCGAAATGTATACAAATCTAACATATAATAATTTTAGCTATAAATCATTAAGAGTTCAACTGATACGGAGAGTCTTGCTAGTTGCCGACTCTCTAATTTATTGAATAAATACATAATTAAAATCTAATACATCAACCGTTTTGGGTACTTTATCCAATTATGTAGAACGAATTTGTTAAAACTACATGGAAGTGTTGTTAGTCTTATCTTGGTATGTACGTTACTGAGTTTTGCAAAAAAAAATACTATTATTAAAGTTCTTCACACAAATAATTATATTATTATAAATCATCATTATACGTTTTTCGTAATTGTTTATTTACTGGATTGATATTAATATTTTGATAAACTTTTAACTATATCCAGTAATTCAACGTTTTGGTACACACCCGATTGTAAAAGAAAACGTTACACAAGTTTTTATTATCGTTTTGAATTATAATAATTATTAGACAGTTTACACTGATCGTGCTGTTAATATTATTCATCAAAATAATTTTGCAGACATTTTTTTCATGTAAATTACAATAAAATAGTGCTTATAAGACAACATCACGATGACACGATACTATGATTTATTATATTTCGGTAATATGAGTATAAGTTTTTTCTTTTTATTACAGTCTGTTTTCCTTATCGATATAATAGTTTTTATCGATCTTATTTATTATATATAATTTTTAGAAAAATGTTTCCGTTTAATTGCAAAAAATTTCAACAGTATAACATGTTTTTATTGGACTTTTTTTTTACTATCTAGATAATAATATCTAGTTTGTCTTTATATTTGATTATTAACCGTACGGGAATTCAGCATAAAGTCATTGTATAGATATATATAAATACAAATGTTTAAAAAAATATCTTATGGCCTTCGTCTACCTCATTTTTGCAAGTAATGAAGCGTTTATTGGCGCATTCTTCAGAATAAAAAAAAAAAAATACCGTCGCTCAGACTACGTATATATATATAATCTTATCTTTTGGCCATCAGGTCACTTAAAAGGGGTCCATGACATCTTTAAAACTTCGTAAAAGTAATTTATTTCATTGTTGTTAAAAAATTGAATACAGTAGTTTCAATAAAACAAATTTATTTATCAAAAATATAACCTCTGCAGTATTTTTTTGATATCTTGTTGAGAGTAATACATTATTACCTATTATTTTTATTATTATTATTATTTAATTAAATTATTGTTTTAACCTATCGCACCATAGTCCACCGCATTATACCGAGTATAATTTATTTATTTGTTTATTTACTCATTTTTTTATTATTCATAATAAATTGTATGATTTAAACGTTTATCGCGAAACGTGAAAAATGATTAGTTAAAACTCAATAAAAGTAATTGGATAGAAATTAGTAAATGGCCAACAATTAAGTTTTAATATATATTGATTTAGTTAATAAAATAATTTTACACATATGAATAATAAATCAATATCAAAATTGAAAATAAAAATAAAAATAAATTTTCATCGAATAACATACATCAATGAATCATTTGATTCTTGAGATGTCTTAAATATAATATCGCATATGTAATAGCATAAAAGAAATCAAATCTTTATTTTATATAAAATTTCATTGCTATAGTTAAATATAATTTATGTAAAATACATAACTTATTGACTAATTATGATTATCTCAATTTTATTATCTTTAGCTAATTATAAATTATGCACGGTTGTAAGCGCTTGTGTGTGGATATTTTCTAAATAAATGATGTCTTCAAGTGTAATTTAATATTTCAATTTTGCTTACTGTTTCTTTTGTCTCAGATTTATGCTTTCAAATTTGTATTTTTTGTTTTTTTAAATTAACTCATGCTTACACAATCATGCATTTTACATTCAACCTACTTATTTTCAAACGAATTAAAATAAATAATGTTTCGTTTTGTTAAAATCATTTTTTAAATTATAAGATGAACGACAATACAAATTATAAAATTATAATTAAGCTAAACAACTCTAATTGCAATAAGTAAAGAGTTTATCACGAATATAAATAAAATCTTAGTAAAAATTACCATAATGATTACTTGTATAATAATAATGTATTGTAAGCATTAAGTAAAACATATTTTAAACAAACATTAAAAATAATTTTAATAATATTTTTGAAGTTTAACAAAACTCTGGACAGTGCTTAGATATGAAATTAGGGGGGAGGGGATTTGTTTGTATACTATAGGCGGCTAAATAGGTCAGAACAGGCCTGAATATACATATAACAGATGTACATTCAATATACATAATAGGTGTCTCAATTTAATTATACTTGGAGACCAGTAATTATTTTCTACTATATTTATAAAATGTTGAACTGATAATACAAAATATAGATATAACAAACTTAATAGTGTTTCCTCTAAGCTTGAACTCCAACTTTTAGCACCAATTCAAATAATACACTATACTCATATTACCAGCATTGATAATAGAATATAACTACGAGTATGTTATATTATACGATATTAGTAATTTAATCTTCAGTAATTCCTTTATTTCTAACCTTTAAATACTGTAATTAATAGGCTATACATTTAATTTAAATAGTATTAATTCATTATTTAATTTACGTAAGATTAAATAGTGAGAATTCGACAACAGAGAAACATTAAAAATTGACCACATTTCGTTCACAACTTGAAGTGAAAATTAAAATATAACAGGTTTTTTATAAGAAAAATGTCAAAATCAATAAACGCATTTTGTTCAATTTAGCCATCAAACACCGTTATGGTATTTATTAGGAAAAAAATATTATGAAACATGTTTTGGAAATTTGAACAAATGTGCTCATTTTCAAGAAGTAATAACAAATAAAATAATAATATTATTTTTAGATTAAATATTATTATTTTAATGAATTGTATTTTAAATGGAAATCGTTTGCATCGCTTTTGATCATAAAAAATTTAGCACCAACTACAGTGCTCAAATTGGATATGCTATAAGGTCGCGGTTATGCGTCTAAAATTTTTCAAGTTAAACATATCATTTTTAGTTTAACTATATTTTATTTTTTTATTTTTTTAATTCTATCTATAAACGTTTAACTAAATTAATTTTAAGATTTACTTAGGTTTAATTTAGGTGTTAATTATTAACATCAAATTATTATTATTATTATGATGTTATGTTGAAAATATAAAAATTTATAAATCGAGTTTACACTTTTTTTTTTTTAAACTATGATAAACAAAATTCGAAGGTGGATTTGACCAGGACGCATTCAGCAAATTCCTTTGCAACTAATCATAATCTAATAATTGGATATGTTGACAATTACAGGTGTTTAACCGCATATTTTTTGTTAGTACCCATTTTAGAATATCAATGAATATAGGGTTATAGTTGTATTTAATAAAATATCGTGTTGCATTTTAAAAATTATACAGTTATATGTAAAAATAATGGAAGTACCAAGAACGAATTTGCATTCAGTTCAAGTTTATCAATTTATTTTTGTTCTAAACTGCTACATAACCTACATTTTTCAATAATAATAAATATCAAAGCTTAGATACCTTCCACATTTAACCAAATCTTCCTAAACTACACATTATACAGTTATTACTTTATACTATATTGTACCATATATTTTTACAGAAAAACCATGACTTTCATGGTAATGATTTCTACGAGAAACTATATATTTTAAAAGTAAAAAAAAAACAATTACTTTCTTAGTAAAAAATAATAAATTTAAACTCATTTCACTTAATTTTAACACCAGAAGTAAATTACATAATATTATCATTCCTTATGTACATACATCCACTCAATATTCTTTTCTATTTACGGGTCCATATATTTATAAAAATCTACCTTGTGAAATACGTAATTATACAAATTATATTATATTTAAACCAAATTTTTCAAATTGGTTACTAAAAAAAAATTGCTGATTTTATACTTATATTGTAAATCTCAGCTATTTTATAGTTTTGGTCATCATTTTATCACATATTTTATTACATAATATGAAAAAACACTGTACTGTACTGTACTTAGAACATAGCGACAGTGGACATTTGGAGTTAAAATTAAAAAAAGATACTAACAACTATAATAACAATTAAATTCTAAAAAAAATAATATATATTTAAAAAAAATTTTTTTTTCGATATTTGCTTAAATCGTACCGATTTTAACGTGTTATTGAAGAATACAGCTTTA